GATGTTTTTGTCCTGGAAATATGGCCTTACTCTTTGGTGGTATTCTCTGGTGTTCCTCCCTCAGTGTTACACCTCCAGTGTTACTCCTTGATGTTATTGTCCTGGCAATACGGCCTTGGCACTGCTCTCAGATGTTACTCCCCCAGAGTTACTCTTTGGTGTTATTCTCTGGTGTTATTCTCTGGTGTTCCTCCCTCAGTGTTACACCTCCAGTGTTACTCCTTGATGTTATCGTCCTGGAAATACGGCCTTACTCTTTGGTATTACTCTCTGGTGTTCCTCCCTAAGAGTTACATCCCCAGTGTTACTGCCCCAGAGTTACTCTTCGGTGTTATTCTCTGGTGTTATTCTTCAGTGTTATTTCCTGGTGTTATTCTTCAGTGTTATTCTCTGGTGTTATTCTTCAATATTATTTCCTGGTGTTATATTCTTCAGTGTTATTTTCTTCAGTGTTATTTTCTGGTGTTATTCTCTGGTGACCATTGATGTGTCAACATCAAGGAGACAGAGCAGGGAGCCCACAGTGGACAGAGAGAGACAGAGCAGGGAGCCCACAGTGGACAGAGAGAGACAGAGCAGGGAGCCCACGGTGGACAGAGAGAGACAGAGCAGGGAGCCCACGGTGGACAGAGAGACAGTGTCCTCCGGTCTCAGCAATGTCTTGGTCTCGGTTTAGGCGGTCTTGACTACAACACTACAGTTAACTAGTTATGGATACATGTACGGATCTTAAACCCAATCTAAAACCCAATGTGATGGTTAAGTCAATATTATTTTTCTACAGATGCTTCCTTTATAGTTTCTGTTACTTTTCACTAATATTCATGTGAGGAAAGGGGACAGTGCTTAGCTCAGGCACTTAGCGTCCACTAGGCAGTTTGGCATGTGCCTATGTCCAGGAGGTTGTGAGTTCAACTCCTGTGGCCGGCAGAGTGATGTTTTGACCAAGGCCCTTATCCTCAGTTGTTCCAGGTCTCCTGGGTGGCCCCGCTCTCCATATGTCGCTGGACACAAAAGCATCTGCTGAATAAATGTAAATGCAGATGATGTAAATCACTTCTCAGTTCGTTTGCATGCAGTGTGTAAATACCAGTACTGTGAAGATACTGCCTCTGCATCGTATGCAAGCAGATCCCTGTTGCTATTGTCCCCTCTCTTAGTTATGAGATAGCTGGTGTGCTCCCGGTTCGAGGCCTCCTTCTAAGGCAGCGTCGACTATGCAGGGAATGTCTGAGCAGCTGCATAGCTTTGCGTGTGAATCTCCGCTGGCGGAGGACGGGGCTGTGCATAGCGCCGCCTCAGCGCCACCCTCGGAGTGACCCGGGTCAACAAGATCCTCTCAAGCGCCTCATTATGCAGACCCCCATCCCTTTGCAGACCCCCCCCCCCCCCCCCCCCCCCCCCCCCCCCCCC